CAGATTGCCCTAGTGGGCAATTTTTATTATTATTACTACTATTTTTTTTTCTGCTTCTTTTTATCTTCTTCTGCCCCCCCCCCCCCCCCCCCCCACACACACACACACACTTTGAAAAACACTGGTCTAAAAGATACTTTGTTTAGAGACGTTTTGGAAAAGTATGTGTTGATGACCCACACATCTGGTTGTAGCAGGAGTGTTTCTGTTCCACAGAGTCCAGAAGGTGGTGCTGTGCTCGGGGAAGCATTACTACGCCCTGCTGAAGCAGAGGGAGGCTTCAGCAGCCAACCAGAACACAGCGCTGATCCGTGTGGAGGAGCTGTGCCCGTTTCCTGTGGAGGCTCTGCAGCAGGAGCTCAAGAAGTACCCGGATGCCAAAGGTAGCACCCCCCCCCCCCCCCCCCACACACACACACACACACACTGATGTCAAACAAACACCTTCACTTCAGCTCAGGGACTTCATATACAGAGCTTTACTGTGTTCTTTGCTTCAGGTGTAACGCTCATATCATTGTAGGTAAAGTTTTATTAGTGCACGGGCAGAATGCAGTGAGTTGTACCTTCCAGCTGCAGGGACGTCGCAGGGGGACAGTCCGTTTCCTGTTGTCTGAAGTCTTTTTGTGTCCAGAGTTGTAATTTAAAACACGCCTGTTCTCTGTTTTACATATGATGTTGTTTCCGAAGGATTCTCCTTTGATACAGGAGGAAACACGGAAGGAGTTGTTTTTATTTATAGATCTTTACTTGAGGAAATGGAATGTATGAAGGCTATCTTTGTATGTACATTACCAACGTCAAATGGAAACGGTGACCCCCCCCCCCCCCCGCACCACATTCTGATAAATCAGGACTGATTTGGCTTCGCTGCCGCTCTGAACAATGTGAGAAACTCTACAAGAAATGATTTGTTTGATCTTCAGTTTTTAACTTCATTCTTTACTTTTAATAGTCCGTTCATATTCTCCCCCTTTTTTTTCTTGTGTGGATATTTTTGTGTTTGATTGCTACTTTTTTTGTGCAGTAATATCCTATTTTATTCCATTTTTGGAGTTTTTCTTGCTTTACGCTGAGAGTCAGGCACAAACATCATTAAATAAAACAGACCTGCAAACTCAGGAGGGATGAAGAAGGTGACAAACCTAGCGCCTGTAGTGGGGTGTCAGGTTTCACTGGCACCAACGTTACGTGTTAGTTTTCATTTCTCTCATCTTATGACAATGTTACATTATTATGGACAGCAATACGGATGCTTTAACCTTCCTAAATTTATTCTCATTGAACCGGACACTGTAGGCGAACGCTAACGCACAAGTCACTGATGTTAGCTGACATGCGAGCTAGCATTACATGCTAATGAGCTTTCCATTACAGATAACATGTTGGAAAAGGTAACGGACTACGACGCACACAATGTTTCTAAAGTAGGATTTTTTAAATTTTTTTTGCTAAATCAACTTTAACTTGCAGCATATTATCTCGTTGGCAGATAACTAGACTTACCTCAGAACTAGCAGTGTCCAACAGTAGAAGAGACTAGTTAGAACGTAGACCAGTTTCTGTCGTCCATGGGAAATATTTCACTATCGTCTTCAGGGGTGGGCAACATTTTTTTTCAGAGGGTCAAATTAAGGTATTTAAAGCAATTTAAAGGCTGCATAGAGAAATAGTAAATCGATTTTCTTTAATTTGGCACATATATCAGGCTTTATCTTGTTGTAGTTAAGTTAGCATGATTGATAAAAATATGTCTCCTCAATACTTTGTGAATATAAGACATATTCTTTGTAAACTGGCTCCTGAGACAATATGTTTGTTAGCTTAAATATATATAAAAACACCATATACAGTAGTCCCTCGTTTATCGCGGGGGATTCATTATATATATATATATATATGTGTGTATGTATGTATGTATGTATATATGTATGTATGTATGTGTATAT